TTTGACTTGCTCACCGAGCTGGCTTGTTTTTGTTCTGATGTTTTGTCGCCATGCTAGGTGACAGCATTATTGAGGTCTCCGATGAAGCGATGTTATTCTACTCCACTTGGAATTTATACTGGCCGGTCCGTTATGGTGAGTAGTGTCATTTCTGGTTTTGATCTGTATGGGTTTGTATATGGGGTCCAATTCTATGTGTTTGTTGATTGAAGTATGGGTATGCCGAACATAGACTCACACCGGAATTCCTAGATGCACGGTTCTCCACCCATCCTGCAACTAATCCTGTTACAATTTCATAGGTTTCTATGAGAATCCCCTTATGCTTTTAAATTGAAGTGAATACAATCCCAACTGACTCAGTCTCTCCTCATATGTCAGTCCTGCCATCTCAGGAATCCTTAGAGTTCCTTCTGAATACACTGGCTCCTTCCCAGTGTACACTCTGTACTCTGGGCCTCATCTAAATCGTCCCACGTGAGACTTGACAGACAGCGGTGCCAACCTATTCCACCATGTTGGGCCATCACCATGGGGAGTTAAATGCTGTCTTCGCCCGATTTCCAGCCCCTAACTTCCAGGGCACGGCCACTCAATCACAGTCAAAAAAACAAATGAGAACCTTAAGTGACGCTCTCTTCTGTAATCGAGCAGCAATGTGACCAATGGTGTAACTATGTCAGAAATTAGTCAAGAATCTGACCAAGGAACAAATGCACCATCATGAGATGCAGTCTGGTTTCTTTTAGGTGCAGCAGTTTTTAAAACACAGTTTACTTGCATAAATATAGTTGGCCCAACCAATCTAGACCAGTACTCATGACCCAAACAAGCCACCTTCCATCTTCCTTCATCACATACTATTAATACACCCTTCTGTTCTCCCGACTGGACATAATCAGCCTGCCCTCGAGTATATCTCATACTATTTGTTGCAATGGTGATGCCATAGCCTGGATACATCCGAACTCTGCCAACATTCCTCCTTCCAAATGAGTGGAAAACCGGACTGCCTCCCACTACAGCTACTCAGATCTGCCCAGACTCCTCGTGGTGGCTACGTTATGTATCAGAGCATTGGAACTTCAGTTTAACTCACAGACTAACCCCTCCTTATCTATTACCTTGTCCAACACTATTCACCTCAATGTGGCACATCCCAGATTTTGAGTGAATTGAAATTCGTCTTGTGAAGTTACACACGACTAGCAATAACCATCACTAATTTTCTCCATCACAGCCTTACAGCTGACTTGGTACAAGCCAGACTGTCAAAAAGAGGCCTTTGTTGAATGTATGACGGACTGAATGGCCTTAGCAAGTTGAGTAAATGCGTATAGCTCGGCTAAATTGGCTAACAAGGACTAAATTGCAAGGTTTGTTTGAATAAAGCCTATTTAAGTACAGGTTCTCCTTTATCTAAAATCAACACCTCTCTAAACCTCAGAACCAAACATTTCAGCTGATCATAATAGAATCGTAGAATCCCTACAGTGCAGAAACAGGCCATTCAGCCCAACAAGTCCATACTGCCCCTCTGAAGAGCAACCCACCCAGACCCATTCACTATGCTTAACCCACCTAACCTAAACATCCCTGGACGCTACGGGCAATTTAGCATGGCCAATTCACCTAACCTGCACATCTTTGGACTACCTAATGTTGCAGAAGATCTGCTCCATGGTGCCTCTGCTACTGACCCTCCAAGCCCCAACCACCCAAGGACCAGTAGCAGTACTGAACAGCAGTGCCAATGTGAAGGCAGTGCCTGGTTGGGGTGTGACACTCAGCCACGACCACGTAAGTTGATGGATCCAGACTACAGGTAAGCAGGGAGGGAGGGTACGGGGGCATTGGGTGGTGAGCAAGTGGGCTCAGCAGTAGGTGCAGAGGTCCACAGGCCTGGTCCCGATGCTGAGTCCTCCAGTCTGGCAGTGGGTTCTTCAAGCGAAGGCACACACCAACAACGCCGAGGGTAGCTGTGGGAAGTCTGTCCAGGATCATGCTCCCTGCAATGTGAGGACCTCCCAGCCCTGCCCACTCACCTTATTCTAAAGTATGATGGTGGGATGGGGTCACAATTATTGCCCCTGACTCCATGGGCCGAATGGCCTCTTTCCGCACTGCAGGGATTGTATGAATTTAAGGGTTTGTTCTCCAGCCTTCCTATGACCAACCTAAACCGGGTGGAGAAGGGAAAGTGGGTGAGGGGGGGCTTCTCTACTAGCCTCCTTTTCCTATTAAATGCCCTCTTTGTCAACAACCTCACTGCAGGGGAGGGCATTAAATTCCAGCCAGGGTGTCAGTATTTGAGCTGGTGCTGTAGGTGACAGTGTCTCTGGTTCATAGCTTTGTTCTCCTCTTCTTGGCTCCTCCCCAGCTACCTGGCCAGATGGTCAGGTCCTTAGTAGGATGACAGTGAAGGCATGGGGATGGCATTACCAGGAGAGGGGTAGCGAGAGGGGCAAGTTTACACTAATCACAGCTTGGAAATCGGGAGTGCCTGTATCAGCTGCTTCAGTCTTCAACTCACACCATCTCCATCAGGACAAGGACATACCATTGATTGGCTCCTGATAACTGTAGTTATTTGTTTACATTTGTTCATGCAGTGTGAGTTTTGCCAACTGTGCCAATATTTATTGCCCATCAAGAAGGTGACAGTGAGCTGCCTTCTTGAATCATTTGCGCTGTACAAGAGGTAGGAAGGTGTGTCAGTGAGTGTGATGCCGTTTATTTGAGGGCTTTGCTGGTCATAGTGGAACAGCTCGTATTATGTGAGAGATTTGTGGGAGCCTGAGGCTTAAAGCAGGAGGGGTGTACTGAAGCTCTGAATCTGACGTACTAGTTGAGGTTGTTACAAGGTGATTGATGGGGATGATGGACAGTGAACTGAACGCATTCCCAATCTTTGATCACGGAACATTGTTATGGGCCAGACCAAACACCCTCAAAATATATCAAGGAGCTAGCCCAGACTTTAACTTTTTATTTTGTTTAAAGGCAAGTGTAAGGCACTGTGTTGCAGATGTGATTCAATTGGTCCACCATTAGGCTTTAAGCAAAACACACTTTACTCTTACAACACAGCTAAAATACAAACAAAAAAAAGAATTGGCCTACCTTTAACTCTGTTGAAACACTTAACAAATTGATACACTCTAACTACTAATTATCAAGTGATCTAATACAGAGGTATCCCAAAGACACACCCTTGGCAAAGGCAAATTCAGCAAAACAGATTTTGCTCATGTACTATCTTCCGGTCAGTCCAGGAGAAAAGGAACATTGAAAGAATCAATCCAGCAGCAGAGAGAAACTCCAGCTTTTTGCTGCAGCAGAGAGAGAAGTATATTTATCTGCTTCAACAGCCAAGTCCAAACCCCAAATGAAAGCAAACCTAAAACCCTGGGTCTGTGTGAGCCCGACTCCACCCACTCATGCTTCTTTTGTCTAATTAAAAAAAACACTCGGGGAGCTCGTAGCTGTTTATCCACCGGTTCTGAAGCAGTTATTCTGGCACCACTGTGGCAACACCTCTCTGCAAGAGATACAGCACAGAACAAATCCCTCTTAAAGGCACAGTACCGTCACAACATCCTGTACTGTACTCAGGTCCTTGAGCATTGAGTATAATGGCCATCTATGAGGGTGCCTTTGCAAAGTCTATCAGGAGGGCATCCAGCCCTTGTGGAAATATGACCCTCATCTTTAAGCTCCTCCATTAAAGGTGTCAAATGTATTTTCCAAATCCCCTCTTGCACAGTAATGGACTCATCTGCCTGTTCAAATTCACTACCACAGCCCATTCCAGATATGTATCCATAAGCGATGCAGGCTGCGTTTAACTGGAACTAGCCTTGTACGAATCTGGGACTACTACTGAGGAAGGAACCCCCCCCAACAGTCACTGTTGGCAATGACTGCTTGGCTGAAATCAGGCTAATTAACATCAGGGCAAAGTTACTGTTCTGCTTTGGAGCCAATGGGCCTGAGACAGATCAATCATTTGGTCCAGTTTCTATGAGGTTTGACTCTATGACTCTATAAATGCACCTGTATTCAGTGGTTGCTGAATGTTGTAAGTAGATTACAAAATGCAATCCTAAATGATCAAAAACTCTACCAGGGAGGAAAGAAAGGTTGCATTTATACAGCAGCTCCCACATTCTAATTGCAAGATAGTTGTTTTTAAGAGCAGTGGCATCATGCTGGAAGGGCAGCAGCTGATGTGTGTAGGGCTAGATCCCACAAACAGAATCAAGACAAATGACCATACAATCTACTTTGATGGTATTAACTGACAAACAGATGTTGAATGACAAAGAAATAGAATCCCTAGAGTGTGGAAGCAGGCTATTCAGCCAATTGAGGCCACATTAACCCTCTAAAGAGCATCCCACGCAGACCCACCCTCCTATCCTGTAGCCCTGCATTTCCCATGGCTAATCCACTTAGCGTACACATCCCTGGGCACTATGGGACAATTTGGCATGGCTAATCCACCCTAACCTGCACATCTTTGCACTGAGAGGAAACTGGCACACCCAGAGGAAACCAATGCAGACACGGGGAGAATGTGCAAACTCCACACAGATAGTCACCTGAGGGTGGAATCAACCACAGGCCCCTGGCGCTGTGAGGCAGCAGGGCTAATCACTGAGCCACTGTGATGCCCCAGGAGCTTAGATGCTTCAACAGATGTCAAAATCGCTTTAATGGTAAACTGATGGATATATTTACTGATACCCATCATAGAACAAATTCTCTCCCATTCATAATAGAGCCATGAAAACAGAATTCACAAATTAATTAATTGATTTCCCTCCTTTTTGCTATACCCAGCTGATCTCCCAGCACCACAGATGGACAGTCAACATATCATTGGACCTGGACACTACATTCTAGACTTTATCAGTTACGGGTGAAGACAAACAAAAGTTTGTGAAAATAAAGGCAAACATTGCAGAAATGTGGTGAGAATAATTAAAAGCACTTACCAAAATCACTTGTGCACACAGCCATAAGGACTTCTGTGTCATTGCATGGTCTACATGCTCCTGCAGCCAAAACAAACAAGTAGATTTAATGTTTCTGTGAGCTCTCAACTATCACAAAAACAACTTAACCGCTGAGAAAGTGAAGCAAACTATGTCTTAATTTAACACAAATCAATTGGATGCCAGCAAAATTGCCACACACCCTCTGATGGGAATGTGGAAGTGCAAAAAGACCATAGTTTAGAAACTGCTGGCCTCATTCCTGAATTATATTGTTGATTGTCTGGAGTTTAATAATTTCTAGCTACCATTTGCTTTCCCATTCTTCCTTGAAGGTGCTGATTCTTACTTGGTTTCATTTGTATTTCAAAAAGTTGGCCAATCTCTATTTTCAACTGTAGATGGTGAAAACTACAAGGCTACTCGGTGGGACAATGGCCTATGCTCAATTGAAACTCATACGCTGGTTCGATACAGCAGTCAAATCCAAGTTGCACTCCTCCCTACACTAGAGCTGCTGGCAAGCCTGGGAACCTGTGGTTTTCAAAAATTAGAGTGAGACATTTTAATCATACTGAAGAGCAATCTGACCAGCAAAGGTGGGGTTAGGGGTTTCTGTGTGGTTCGAGATGTTATGGGTAGAGAGTTACACTGGAAAAAAACTGATAAGTAGTATAAGGCTATAACTTCTTAGAGGTGGAATGATTCATAAGTAAGGGGGTGGAAGATTTTTGGGGGGACAGTAGGCAGGAATGTGGAGTGGAGGTTACTATCTGGTTAGCTATGATCTTATGGCATTGCAAGTAGCATATTAGCGTGGATAGACGATTGGCTAACCAATGGAAGACAGAGAGTTGAGAAAAGAGGGGGATGTTTAGGGTGGCAACCTATAACTGTAGCAGAGGTATCAGTGCTGGAGTTAGAATTATTTGAAATATCTATAACTTGGCTGAGGAAAATGGTGAGGATGACGGAGAGACTCGAAAGGGATACGCACAGGAGAAGTGAATAAGCACCAACCTGGCAGATGCAATATTAATGTGAGAAAATAGAGTCAGAGTCATACAGCACAGAAACAGGCCCTTCAGTCCAACTCATTCACACTGACCAAGTTTCCTAAACTAAACTAGTCACACTTGCTTACATTTGGCCCATATCCCTCTAAACATTTCCAATTCATGTACCTGTCTGAATGTTTTTTAAATGTTGTAACTGTACCTACATCTACTACTCCCTCTGGCAGATGATCACAAATACAAAATTCGAAGACCCCTACCACCCCGGTTATTCTCTCTTCCACTCTCTTCTGTTGGGCAGAAGATATAAAAGTTTGAATACAAGTACGAATAGATTCAAGAACAGCTTCTTCCCCACTGTTATCAGACTTTTGACCATTTGAGACGTCTGTCAATTCTGATCTCTCTCTGCGCCTTCTCTGCGGCTGTAACACTGTATTCTGCGCTCTGTTCTGCTACCTCGGTACATGTGACAACAATAAAACAAATCAACGTACAAACTACCCTCTGTGAAAAAGTTGCCCCTAAGGTCCCTTTTAAATCTTTCTCCTCTCAGCTTAAAAATATGCCCTCTAGTTTTGAATTCTCCCACCCTAAGGAGAAGACCTTTGCTGTTCACCTTATCTGTGCCCTTCATGATTTTATAAACCTTTAAGAAGGTCACTCTCAACCTCCTACACTCCAGTGAAAAATGCCCCAGCCTATCCAGCCTCTCCTTATAACTCAAACCCTCCAGTCCCAGCAACTACTGGTAAATCTTTTCTGAACCTTTTCCGATTTAATAATATCCTTCCTTTAGCAGGGTGACCAGAACCATACACAGTACTCCAAAAGTGGCCTCACCAACATCCTGTACAACCGCAACATGATGTTTCAACTCCTATACTCAATGATCTGAGCAATGAAGGCAAGCGTGCTAAAAACCTTCCTAACCACCCTGCGATGCAACGTCTAAAGAATTATGTACCTGAACACCTAGGTCTCTGTTCAAAAACACTACCCAGGGCTTTACTAATAATTGTTTAACTCCTGTCCTTCTTTGTATCACCGAAATGTAATAACTCGCATTTATCCAAATTAAACTCCATCTGCCGTTCCTCAACCCATTGGCCCAGTTGATCAGGTTCCCATTGTAATCTTAGATATCCTCCTTCATTGTCTCATCTACAAACTTACTAACCATATCTCCTAAATTCTCATCCAAATTGCATACATAAATGACAAAGAGTGGACCCAGCACTGATCCCTGCAGAACACTGCTGGTCACAGTCCTCCAGTCTGAAAAACAATCCTCCACTATCACCCTCTGTCTCCTACCAACAAGCCAATTTTGTATCCAATTGGCAAGCTCTCCCTGAATCCCATGTGATCCAACTCTACTAATGAGTCTACCATGCAGATCCTTGTCAAAGGTTTTACTGAAGTCCGTGTAGACTTCTACCGCTCTGCCCTCTAATATCTTTTGGTTTTATGTCCTCAAAAACTCAATCAAGTTTGACAGACGTTATGTACTTTGGCAAGAAGAATAGAGGAGCTGAATACTATTTTATTGGAGAAAGATTGAAGAAAGCTACAGAACAGTGGGATTTGGGAGTCCTTGTCATTAATCACAAAAAGCTAAATATCCAAGTTCAACAGATAATAAGACCATTAGCCACAAGACCATAAGACATAGGAGAAGAAATTAGATAATAAAGAAGGCAAATGGGAAATAAAAGGGAATGGAGTATAAAAGCAGTTCTGAACAGTCAAAACAGACTCAGAACATTAACTCAATTTCTCTCCACAGATGCTGCCACACCTGCTGAGTTTCTCCAACAGTCTCTTGTGTTTGTTTGATTAAAAAAACAATGACTATCCAGTCTGAAATGACTATCATGAGGGGGCATAATTTTAAGGTGATTGAAGGAAGGTATAGGGGAAATGTCAGAGGTTCTTTACACAGAGCGTGGTGGGTGTATGGAATGCACTGCCAGCAGTGGTAGTAGAGTCAGATACATTAGGGACATTTAAGCGACTCTTGGATAGGCACATGGATTGTAGTAAAATGAAGGGCATGCAGGTTGTTTGATCTTAGAGTAGGATAATAGGTCGGCACAACATCGTGGGCTGAAGGGCCTGTACTGTGCTGTACTGTTCTACGTTCTACAAGAAAAGGGAGGTTTTGCTAAAATTATGCAAGGCAATAGTCAGGCCACAGCAGGTATATTGTGAACATTTTTAGGCCCCTTATCTAAGGAAAGATGTACTCACATTTGGAACAGTCTAGAGAAGGTTCTTTAGGCCAATAACAGGTATGGAGGGACTGTCTTATGAGGAGAGGTTGGGTAGGTTGGGCTTGTACTTGTTAGGAATTTAGAAGAATGAGAGGTGACCTTATTAAAAACATGTAAGATTCTGAGGGGACTTGACAGGGTAGGTATGGAAAGCTTGTCTCCCTTTGTGGAACAGTCAAGGACCATGGAATAAGGGATCACCCATTTAAGACAGGATTGAGGAGGAATCTCTTCTCAGAGAGGGTAGTAAACCTGTGAAATTCTTTACCACAGAGAGCTGCCTAGACTCGGTCATTACGTATATTCAAGGCTGTGTTTTAATCAGTCAGATTATCGAGGATTATGGGGCAAAATTGTCTATTTTTGCTCTACATCTTTAGGTCTTTTGGAATGCTTCTGGAAATAAATAATTTTCACTACACGGGGGCTTAGGAATTAATTATAATTTTAATAAGTCATTGACTGTAAAACAGGAGAGATCGGAATGCTTGGATTTCAAGACAATCAGGCATCAATTCCGCATCACCTATTTTTCCTCCAATAACAAAAAGTTAAAATTATCTGCAAATTAAGTTTTGTGAAACTAAAGGAATTAAAGCTTTAATTTGTCACATTTTTGGTTTCTGGAAAGTATTTTGTTGAAAACACGTAATCTTCTTGTCAACTAACGGGTTTATTTAATCATTTTTGGAATGAAACACCACAGTCCCACAAAGTGCTATTCAAAAACCACGATAATTTCAACACGCATGCTTATGCCAAATGGTATTTTTCTTCAATAAAGCCTCCCTTCTTCTCAAAGCAGTAAACTGCGGCCAGAAGCTGTTCAATAACTGGAGTTTCTGTATGGTGCTTCATACAAAAATAGTTCAAACCCTGTTTGATTACACTGAGCTACATTGTTGCATAATGAGTGCACAATAGTTTAGCCGAACAAGGGAATATGGGTAAACCCAGAATGTTGAAATACACTAATAAGCAAACCACATCATCCCCAAGTGACTGGTAATGTCAAATCAAAGTCATATTGGAATACTTTTTGTGAGCAGATAGCATGTTTCCTCTATTTATAGTCTTATGTTTCTGAGAAACTGGGACATGAAGATTTTTAAAAAATCTAACGATGGCTTCAGTGTTTTGAAAATTACGTTATGAATCTTGTCCACTTGAGGCTATCATCCACAATGGACCAGCAGAAAGAGTCTTCTAGGAAGAGATAAGAGAGGATTGATGTCTAACAGTTGATGTGGTTCTAACTCAAAATATTTCTGGCTGAAGATACAACAGCTTCTGTCCCAAGAGCTTCACGGATCATCAACTTAGGCAGCACGATGGCCCAGTGGTTAGCACTGCTGCCTCACAGCACTGGGGGCCCAGGTTCAATTTCACCCTCAGGAAACTGTGCAAACTCCAGACATACATTCTCTCTGTGTCTGCGTGGGTTTCCTCCGAGTGCACCAGTTTCTTCCCACAGTCCAAAGATGTGCTGGTTAGGTGGATTGGCTGTGCTAAGTTGTGTTCGGTGTTCAGAAAGGTGCAGGCTAGATGGGTTATCCATTGTAAGTGGAAGTGTACAGGATAGGGTAGGGGATGTGTCTGGGTGGGATGCTCTTCAGAGGGTGAGTGTGGACCTGATGGGCAGAATGGCCTGTTTTTACATTGTTGGGATTCTATGATTCTCACTTACATTCAGATGGAGCTGAGTAACACTGGATTTAGAATTGGTAACTCTCCAGGACAACCAACTTTGTTTGATTCACTCATGGGA